GAACTTTATCTCCCACACTAGTTTTTATCACAATCAAATGTGTGGTGGAATGGCGCAAAAAACAATTCATCGAAAAATCATACCTGTAGAGCCCCCTGTCCGTAGGGTATATCACCAACAAAAACAACTGATAGATTTCTACCATCTCCCCAACATGGATGAACTTGCAGTTTATTGGCTCGTTGGTAGATGGCGCAATGATGCTCAAATAAATTAGGATTATAGCTGAAATGCTTATAACTAATAGCAAAACAATTTTGAACAATTATTTAGTAGACAGAGTACCTACCCAACAACAAAATGTACACGGCTAAAGGAATTTATATTTATTATCTATCAAAAATAGCGAATATAATGGCTGCGATACGAAACGGAAGGACGTGGAACCTGATTGTCCCGTTACACTACCAAATAACTTGAAGCTGATTAATAAATAGTATTGAAAAATTCAAAAAGGAATTCAAGAAACATATACTCCTGTAATATTGACATCATATGTCATTTTAATGGTTTTCTTGTACAATTACTATAGTTTTCCATTTGGTACCTAACAGAGTCAATTCAGAATCATTTTCTGTTGAGCTTAAAAAAAAACAAATGATTTCTTCTTGAGTGTGTCTTATTTTACTGTTTTATTTATTTTGTCAAATATATCTATATATTCACCATGTTCCCTGCTATAAAAAAACATCATTTCTTGGGAAGAATAAATTTGATTGATTGATATTGAATATTGATAGAGATTTGAAATCATACACTACAAAATAGCAAAACTTGTCTATATTTGATTTCATTGACATGGAAATGTTCAACCAACCATGTAATACACAGAATCAAAAGTATTTTCATCATGTAATTGTAATTTTCCTATGATATATGAGATGACAATATGTATACATGTGTGCATAAAGAATAGGGAATCAATATCAGGAAATAGCTGGATAAAAATGTTTACAAATTGCACATTGAAAATAAAGAGTTCCTAGAAGAAATCATATAATTACAAGGTGATTTTGAAATAAGTACATATATATATCAAACACATGAATATGATAAAGTTGTGACAAGTAGAGTGTGACAAGTATTCCCAAAACATTAGATTTTGTATAAGTCTTCTATTTGAGGAGACATTCCATCTTGAAAAAAAAAATTTTTATTGAATCAAGTATATAATGTACAACCAACATAGGTCATAGGCTATCAACCAGTCTATTTCTTGAAAATTGATAAAAAATACAATAAGTTCTTTTCTGGTATAAGTTCATGTTGAGGATCATCATCAATATTCTTAATTTCCATGATTTCAGGTGGGATACAAGATTGGGAGGTGGAAGGTTCTTCAATGGGAATAGTAGGACTTTCATCCATACATACATCATCACAGAGGCTACAAATGGAAGGAAGTTAATTTCAATGTCAATTTATCATCATTTATTTGGTTGATTTATTGATATACAGGGTGTCCCTGGATTTTTTTTACAAAATGATACCATAGACAAGCATAGACTACTGAGATCAAAATGAGATAATTGAACTTATTTCACCTCTATATCAAATTGCTTTGTTTTTCATGCTTTGGTACCCTTTGAAATTATTTAATAATTTCAGGTAAGTACCAATTTCCTTTTCAAAGAGAATCATAGATGATATCTGATATTTAGGACATTTTAGGAATTTGAAATACTGTGTAGAATTATGTATTACATATTTATTTCAACGCCCTGTAGGGGCTAACCAATACATTTTGGTATAGAGGTTGAAGTTTAATCCAATTATCTTATTATGGTCTCAGTAGTCTGTGTGTGGTATCATTTTTCATTTGATTAGAGTAACCTAGGGTAGCAAATGTAATTAATGTATTTTCTCCACATTTTTGTAATATGTAAGTATTTTATATTTATATATCAAAATATCAACTAGATTTCCAATATATTTTACTGAAATATGTATGTGTATCCTGGTGTTATTGTATCATATTATTATTATTGAAATAAATATATTTTTTCAAATACTGTCTGTAGTTTAATCAAGGAGGTGCAGTACATTCATTATTCCAGATTTTTTTGGGTTTTCTCCTTGTTTCTATGGAATAAAAATATGTATATTATTTCAATATACCTGTAGTAAGGACAAATCAGATGATTTGTCCCAATGTAACTGCCAAAAGAATTTTCCTATCAGAGAGCCTAAAAGAAAAATTTACTAGCTTGTTAGTGACAATTTGTATTGAAACAAGTTTGGAGATGAGAAATAAAGGTATATAGAAACAATTTCAAATTTTTACTTAGCTTTGGATGTTTCAGGAACGAATCTGCTCACGTTTTCAACATAAAAAATGGATATTTGAATACCAAATTCATATTTCTCTTGGCACCTTCCAGTTCTCGGCAATGAAATGAGTTACAGGATGTTATCATTAATAAATCTTGAATTCACCATTTTCATTGATAGAACATGGTATTCACTTCTGAAATCTGAAGATGAAAATGGTAAATTCAAGATTAATTAATGAAAACATCCTGTAACTCATGTCAAGTGCAATATGAATTTGATATTCAAATATCCATTTTTTTATGTTGAAAACAGGAGCAGATTCGTTTCCCAAACGTCCAAAGCTAAGTGAAAATTTGTTATTTTTTCTATATATACATACCTCTATTTCTCTTCAAACTTTTTTCAATAGGTACAAATTGTCACTGACAAGCTAGTGAATTTTTCTTTTAGGCTCTCTGATAGGAAAATTCTTTAAACACAGTGACATTTTGGGGCAAATCGTCTGATTTGTCCTTACTACACATATATTGAAATAATATTCATATTTTTATTTCATAGAAATGAGAGAAAATTCCAAAAAATCTGGAATAATGAATATTTTTTTTACTTTCAATAGTCATATTAAAATAAAGAAAAGTTTTAGGTCCATTGGAGACACTCCCTATGATCATCTCTAGGGTAGTTGTGTAATTTTATTTTTGAATAAAGGATAATAGGTACCTTGATCCGATTACAGTATCCTCAACTGTTAGTTCCATTAGACTTGTTGGGTCATTATTTTCTGTTATAGGTTCAGGTTGAGGAGATGGGATACCAGCATCAATTTGGGTATTTTCCATATTTTTTTCAGGTGAGGTACATGATTGGGAGGTGGAAGGTTCTTGAATTGAAATATTAGGACTTTCATCCATACATAAATCATCATAGAGTCTAAAAAAGGAAGAAAATCAATTTCAATGTCAAGATCTACAAGTATTTTTTTATTATTCTATACATAATAAATAATTACAAAATTTTACAAGCTACAGCTAGGCTATGTAATAATTAGTTTAGAAAATCTGAAGCACTCTTTATTGAAAGAGTTTTAATATCATTCTTGAAAATAGTGCATTTTCTTAATTACTGTTCTTGCAAGCCTTCAAAAAGCAGTGTAATTTATAATGAAAATATCAATGGTTTTCTGATGGGAGACCACAGGACTCAGCAAGGCTAACAAACAAATACTTCTACTACAAATATGCTCACCAAATTTCAAGAAGATTCTCCAGATATATTATACATTATAGTATAACATTTTTTTAACTTCAAACCATCTGTTGAAAACAAAGCATTTGAAATCTATATTTATATGTTTTTTTCTTATTTTAATGAGTAATATGACCTATTGAAGTTTGGTAGGTCATATTTATTTTGAGAATGAATATTTTTTTTATTTTAGGAATGTATAATAATGACCAAGACTATCAAATAATAAAATAGGTTTGGAATTTCAAATTAGAATGAAAACTAATTCATATATTTCTATGAATATTCTAATGGACTCCAAGAAGATGATATGGTGTCTTTTGCTTTGATTTTCTCCAATTAGAAACATTGTATTTATTGATTGATAAAAAGGAATACTCTGTTGTTCCTGTTTTTTTTGCAACCTAACCTACCACTTAAGTATATAATAAAAATAATATGAAAAATATTACAGTTTGGAGGGCAAAGCAGATTTTTTCAGCTTTTTCATGCCTTGACATTCTGGGGGGAAATGCCTGGAGCATATTCGACCACTAGGTGGTAAGTGTTTGCCAACTGCATCAGCCCACTTTTGTCGAACATTATCCTCCTATGAAAGTATAAAGTATAATGATGAAAAAATGAAATGCAAAGTTAGAACTAAATTCGATAAACATGCAAATATTCACCTTGGGTACCCTGTACAAATGCAGGGAATGGCCTGTACTTGTTTGAGATTGTCCACATGATGTTCAGAGAGAATTAAAACACAACAAAAACTGAATACAACACTGAACTATGAATAACGACAACGCGGAAAACAACAATAACAAGAACTAGAAACAACAAAACTCGAAAATAATAGGGATTAACACTGATAGGAACACTAAGGACTAAAACACTGGAAACACTCAAAAGAAGAACTGCAGACTGTAGAGAGAATACGACAGAATAACTAGGAATCGGAATGAATCCACACTAATTTTGAATTCGAAATTCAAATCGATAAATTTGACAATCAACGACCTTGACAACAGGCACACAGAACTGCAGATAATTAACAAGGTTGGTAGAACGATGATTTATAGCCGCGACGCCCTCTACAGGTGATTTCTGAACTATGGCCAATAATCCATCGACACTTTTTGACGAAAAACAATTGACAAGTGGAAACACCATAGTTATAAACATCTCATTTACACTAATACCTCCTTGCGCTAGACGCTAGTGTCCGTACCCTGTAGAGATGACAAATACGTCAGTTTACAGTAAGGGACCCTAGTGCGAGCTAGAGTCCCTGTATATACTTTAGACAAGTGCGAGCCAGTTTCACTAATGGAAATCGCTATTAAGAAGTACATTTCTTGAAAAATTACTTGAGAGATGATTCTTGAGAGCAAACAACAAGAAACATAGTAACATGCTACTCGTTTTGTGACTGGCGTGAGAAACTTATGAAACCCAATCACCAAGCAAGGTCTAGAGTTAAATAGCCTTGATCACCAAGACCACAAGAGGAAAAATAAGAAGTGCAAGCGAAGTACGATCTTAACCTAACAAACTGTTTGCATTTCGTGTTATGTTTATATTTGCTATTTTGAATATTTTCATTTGAAATCTCCACTTTGATTTTGATTCTCATACCACAGTCTTACACAGGGTATTTCAAGGCTCTATTAATACCCCTTCTGGTAATTTCATTCGTTTTGCACTTTACACAAGAAGTGAGATGTCCCGTAAAAAAGATATATCTGTAAGTATACCTACCTAAAATAAAGATTTGTCTATCATTATGGTAGTTCATCTTTCATAAATCAATTGATGAATATTATGTTCATGTTACAAGCTACATACACATTGTTGATTATTATTTGGGATGCACTATTTCTTTCACTGGTGATTTATATGTTTCCGTTATTGATAATGTTTCTTGGTTTTTACCTTTCATTACATTATACAATAGGGGGAGCCCGAGGAAAGACTTATATATTACCTTCTTTATCACTTATCTAGGTGAATCATTTTAGATTTCGTTGCCTTTTCTATATGAGTTTCATCAATTTTGATAATAATGAACCTTAATCCCTTTATGGAGCAATTGGTGTTCGTTATTTATTGAATATTTAATCCTCTGATGCTCCTCCATTGATTTACAAAAAAAAACATCCAAGATACAGGGTTATTTATATAGGACACAAATTAGAAGTTTTTCAACTTGCAGTTATATAGAAATCAATTTCTGTATTTCTTTTTAATATCCAATACAAAACTATCAATTTTTGTTAACAAAACATTCAAAAATAGGAATTTGTGATAGCTCATGCTCATGGCTTTTGGGATATTCAGGGATATTCAAAGGTGTGAAGAAATCAGATGACAATTCCAGGTCCCTATTTAAAATAACAAGTTGATGATGGTTTCTGGATGACAGAACGTCGGATTTCAAATTTGAAAACGCCAACATAGGGAAGAGAAAGTGACCATGATAAATTGTTACTCATTTCAATGAATTTCTTCAAATAACTTGAAAAAAGGGGGCTTTAAGAAATGTCGGTTTGGTTTTTTCATAAATCGCCATTTTATTAGGCATAAAATTGAGCAGCTTTGCCATGATTCATTCATCCCTATTCAGGGTGTTATTTAAGTATGTGGCCAGACTTCAAGGGGTGATTATTTTGTTGATTCTAAGATGAAGAGTTCAAGTGGAAGTTTCAATAAAAAAATCGTTTTCTTTATTAATTACTCAAAATGTAACCTTGAAATAAATAAGGGGCTAAGTGCCAAGAAAATGATTTCAAGTTAATCCATATAAATTGTATAAAACATGGCATATATCATTAGGAAATATTGCCAATTTTTTATATCAACTCAATTATGGTATAAACAATAATTTGAATTGATTTTTCATATGGGTGCTATAAGTCAGGAGAGAAAATTGAAACAACTTTGATATTCTTATAAGGTTCTAAGTGCCATTATTCTTTCCCCTCATAGTGGGCCATGTACTATACCAATATTCATTTTACCATGAGCTAAGTGCCAGAATATGGAAAAGTAAAGGAGGTGTCAGTCGATAGTAAATAATGTGTACCGGGTGTACCACTAAGAAAGGACGCCGGCTGTATCTCGGGAATTTTTTTTTACAATTGCATACCTCGTTGGTCCCAGCACTGGGACCAAACGCCCCATAAGTCGAAACTTGTGCAGGGTAAGGTATACATACAAACACAAACATCCATGGCCTAACTAGGATTCAAACCTATGTCTCGGGTGGGAGTCCCCATACGAACTCAGCGCCTTCACGCTCTCGACCACCATACAAACACAAACATCCATGGCCTAACTAGGATTCAAACCTATGTCTCGGGTGGGAGTCCCCATACGAACTCAGCGCCTTCACGCTCTCGACCACCGAGCCGCCCAATTTGCGGCTCAGGTTTCCAAAAAAATATGAATGATGAAAGTGGCCAAGAGAAATCTCTGGAAAATATTTTCTAGTTTCCAGGACAGCTGCTAATTGCATTGGCCAGTTTAATAAACGGGTTTTTATGAAAATTCGGTATATCAAAGACACTTTTTTCATGTTCTCCAGTTGATTTCCAATCATTTCGATCAAAAAAACTTGCACTAGCTCTTTAAATAAAAGAGGGAAGGAAGGATGAATAGTACTTTTAAAAAACTCTCATTACTACAGTTTTGGTGTAACGGAATTCAACGATCTTGGTCTCATTATGAAGGGATTTTTTAGTTCTTCCAGATGAATCACGAATCGAGTCGATTTAAATTCTGTGGTGGCCGCTAGATGGCATCGTTTGAAAAATCAGACAATTTTCCATTTTTTTCGAGAATTTCAAATGGAACCATACATTTATCCTACTCTAATATGAAAGTAGAGCAAACGAGAAGAAGAATGGTGAAAACCGCGAATTGATACCTCTTGAGGAACCGGTGAAATACTCCATATAATATTATGAAAATATTCACCACAGGAATCTAACTTCAATAATCGTAATCAGAAATATCCTGTATCTATGGAATTATGATTTCAATAATTCATTTATTCTGGTTTCACATTCTGCTGTTATATCTCACAATAGTGAAGGAGACTCTTAGTAATGACATAGCTAATTGAAATGTAAGTAGTGAGTAGGCTCAGGAATGAGAAAATGCAAGTTGGCTCTGAATGAAAGAAACGTCAAAATATAAGTAAAGTTCCATTGAAAGTTTTCACTGTTCATTGTGGATTGCTTTTTTGTCAAAATGCCGATATCGAATGAGGAGGCATTTGACATGCTAGCAGTTCAAATTTCAATAATATTATTCCAAATATTTCTCCGGTTCTTCAAGAGATATCAACTCGCGGTTTTCACCATTTTTCTTCTCGTCTACTTTACTTTCATATTATAGCAGAAAAAATATATGGTTCAATTTGAAATTCTCGGAAAAAACGGCAAATCGGCTGATTTTTCAAACGATGCCATCTAGCGGCCACCACGGGATTTAAATCGACTTGATTCGTGATATATATGGAAGATCTGAAAAAACCCTTCATAATGAGACCAAGATCATTGAATTCCGTTACACCAAATTGTAGTAATAAGAGTTTTTCCAAAGTACTATTCATCCTTTCCTCACTCTTCTATTTAAAGAGCTAGCGCAATTTTTTTTGATCGAAATGATTGGAAGTCAACTCAAAAACATGAAGAAAGTGTTTTTGATATGTCTTAATATATAAAATTTTCATAAAAACCCGTTTTTTAAATTGGCCAATGCAATTATGCCCTCTAGCGGCTGTCCTGGAAACTTGAACATAATTTCCAGAGATTTTTCTTGGCAACTTTTATCATAAATATTTTTTTCAAAAACCTGTGCGGCAAATAGTTTCCGAGATACAGCCGGCTTCCTTTCTTAGTGGTACACCCGGTACACCTTTCCTCCATTGTCAAACATTTTCCATTGCTGAACACTGCCTAGCATTGCCGAACACTGCCTAGCATTGCCGAACACTGCCTAGCATTGCCGAACACTGCTTAGCATTGCCGAAAACTGTTGCCGACCTCTATAGTCTAAAAGCCAGCGCCAAAAAGATTATCTGAATTTACTAAGCCTAGCTTTTTCACAGTTTATCACAATGGTTTTGTACACAAACATACTGCGGTCAGTCAAGCCAAACTGAGAACAGGTGTCCCTGGTATACTATCGAAGTTGTCGTTCCTACCGAGGTAATGCAATGAATTTACTAAGGCTGAAAATCATTATACACATTGTATATTGCATATGAATGAAAGTTATGAAAGTCAGTCAGCTGACTGTGGGGACGGGAAAAAATTAATGAGTAGGTTTCGAGTCGAAACAACACCCTATATATATATCAATATTTTGAAATTTCATTTACAAATTTGGAAAGAGCAGAAAAAAATTAGTGTGACTGAAATTATTTGGTGTTTCCGCATACAAATGTTTCATCTATTGAGTCAAATCTAGAGGTTCCAATAATCAGGTGGCACGAAATCGAAAAAAAAATCCTGTATTTTGGTTATAAAGAATGATATACCCATGAAATATAGATTATTTAGAAGTACAGTCGTATTCAATAAAAAAGCGTACAAGTATTAAAAAGAGGGGATTTCGGGATCCTAGTTCTAGTTTTGTAAAACTGGCTCAGCCAATGCTTTGTGTTTTTGTTTTTGAGAACTTATGACAACTTTACTGTCAACATTTGGTAAGTAATCATTCCCAATAGCCCGTTTTATGCAGAATAGGATGACGTTAATTTCTCTCTGTAATATAGTTGTACGCTTTTTTTTTAATGCGACTGTACCTCGGTGTCTTCCATCTACCTTTACTGTATGCGTATTTCCCAATGAATCACCCTGTATAAGTGCTGTCCACTGCTTCTCATTGCGTCCACGGCCTAAAGAATTTGTTCCACCACTAGCTATAAAACCTAACATTATGTATTCCCTCTCGAGGCATAAAGTGTGTTTTTACTATCAAGGTAGTTTTTTTATGAACCACTAGTCAACAGAGACATAGCCACCTCTGTTATAATTAACCCGAATTCACTGTTCCTAAGCGACATTCGCAGGAAACGCGTCTGCCATATTGGATCCGTCATCCTGAATTTCCTAATTTTGACAAAATAATCATAATCTCCGACCCCGAAAACCCCCAGATACCAATTTTGAATAAAATCGGATCATAATTAGAAAACTCGTCCGCCATTTTGGATTCGCCATTTTGGTTTTTTGTGTAACAAAAATGTCATGATGCATTAACACCAGAATTATGTACACCTGAAATGAGTCAAAATCACGTTCGAAGATTCCGGTGCATACAAACCAACAAACATACATATATAAAAGTTCATACCAAGCTGGGTACCAAGCTAGTATAGCGTGTTGAAAAGGCGTATAGTTCTTCCTCAACTGATACGCTAATGTTGAAACAAAACGACATTACACGATCTTCCCAAAATATTTTCAGACGCCGAGCTCTCAGACATAATAATAATTGTCTTGTTATTATTAAGAAATGTAGTTATTTGTATACTACAATACGTTTTATTAAATGTATTTCAGTAAGAATGTTTACTGGTATCATGAAGATTCTGATCTTCACAGTCCTACCTTAATTGCTAACCGTCTCTGTCAGTCATGCCATCCTAGATAATCTGACATTGACATCTGGCATACCAACTTAACTTACATTATATGACATCTTCCCCTTTATACAAAAACACCTTGCTTTCAA